AGAAGTAGAAAGTAGAATTGCTGAATCCTATGGTAGCTCTGTTTAATTATTTTATTTTTTGAGGTGGGATCTCACTGTGTCACGGAAGCTGGAGTGTAGTGGCACACTCTCAGCTCACTGCATCCTCCACCTCCTGGGCTCAAGTGATCCTCCCACCTCAGCCTCCCAAGTAGCTGGGACCAAAGGCACGCACCACCACACCCAGCTAAGTTTTTGTATTTTTGGTTCAGATGGGGTTTCACCATATTGCCCAGGCTGGTCTCTAACTTCTGAACCCAAGCAATCCATCCACCCACCTCAGCCCCCCAAAGTGCTGGGATTAAAGGTGCCAGCCACCGCACCCAGCCATCTATGTTTAATTTTTTGAAGAATCATCATACATTTTCCACAGCGGATGTACCATTTTACATCCTCACAAACAGTGCACAGGAATTTCAGTTTCTTCACTTTCTCACAACACTTTTGTTTTTTTAATAATAGCCATCCTAGTGAGTGTAATGGTGCAAAGTACTATTGCACTGGGGTTTTCATTTTTCATTTTCCTAACGACTAGTGACGTTGAACATCTTCATGTGTGCTTATCTCTTGTGTACATTTTACATTTATAATTTCTCCTTTCTCAGTTGATTGTCCTTGGAATGCCTGAGCATTTTTGTTTTTTAAGAGGTAGGGTCTCATTATGTTGCCCAGGCTGGACTTGAACTCCTGAGCTCAAGTGATTCTCCTGCCTCAGCCTTCCTAGTTGCTGAGACTACTGGTGTGCACTGCTACACCCACCTAGGCTTTGATCCTATATTGGTATAGGCTACTTGTGTGACCTATAAACTATAGCTTTCTTTTTTTTGAGACATACTCTCGCTCTGTCAACCCTGGCTGGAGTGCAGTGGTGCATTCTTGGCTCACTGCAAACCCCGCCTCCCGGGTTAAAGCAATTTTTCTGCCTCAGCCTCCTGAGTAGCTAGGATTACAGGCATTTGCCACCATACCTGGCTAATTTTTGTATTTTTAGCACAGATGGAGTTTCACCATATTGGCGAGGCTGTTACCAAATTCCTGACTTCAAAATGATTCACACACCTCAGCCTCCCAAAGTGCTGGGATTACAGGTGTGAGCCACTGTTTGAGCCCCTATAACCTATAGCTTTCTAAACCAAGCAAACAAAAACTGTCATATATACCTTCTTTTGGATTTTCTTCCTTTTTTAAGCAAAAATGAAATACCTCTGTAACCTCTCTGGGCTTCTGTATCTTCTTCAATAAAATAAGGAAAAGATCTGTTGTGAGAATTAAAGATCAGCTCTATGAAAGCACTTTGTAAAAGACTAGCCTGGCCAACATGGCAAAACCTGATTTCTACTGAAAATACAAAACTTAGCTGGGTGTGGTGGCACATGCCTGTAGTCCCAGCTACCTGGGAGGCTGAAGTGGGCAGATCACTTGGGCTTAAGAGCTCAAGAATCACTTGAACCTGAGGCAGAGGTTGCAGTGAGCCGAAATCATGCCACTGCACTGTAGCCTGGGTAGCAGAGTCTTGGTCTCAAAAAACAAACAAACAAACTTAGACATTATCATCTTGAGCCATCAGATTCACTGTTACTCAGATTCTTTGCCAAACCTGAAGGTAAGACAAATTTACAACCTTTTTGTCTTAGACCAAAGGCTGTATGTTTCTTTGGTAGGTAAGAGGAACAGAGCACAGGTGACCTACTTATTCATATCTCTTCATCTCCCAGTATGGGGTTGCTTCCTCTGAACTAGGGCAAGGGTCAAGTCTCTGACCGGGTTTTCCCCTCAAAGTGGTCACAAAGTCTGCTGAGCATCATTTAGAGATGTGGATGCCTTGGCCCCATTACCTGCCCATCTAAAGTAAGTATGTTATGTAATTGAACAGATATTTACTACTTAGTATGTGCCAAGCACTGACATTCATGCTTTCACATCCTTCACTAGGTTTTACTTAATCATATTTTTGCATTACTGTTGTCCTTTGAGAATTATAAGCTTCCACATACATTATTTTAGTTCATTTACTCATATCTTCTAGACCTGTTTTCTCCTGTTGTTTCTTTGTTTCAACAAAGAGAAATATTTAGGGAAGGAGTCCTTAAAGATTTTAGTTATTCTAAATAATAGTTTTAGTTATTCAGATGCTGCTATTGAGATTTAGATAGAGCATCATTCATCTACTCAGGAACAATTACAGAAAGGAAGAACCTGCATTGAGCCAAACTTCAGAGTGGATCCTGCTTTCCGGAAACGGAAACGATGTCAGTTACCAGCATTCAGCTACTTGAGCTCAGAGTGGATGAACAAGGATGGATTTTCCTCCCTGTGGCTTCTTTGTTGTTGTTGTTGTTTCTTTTTGTTTTTATTGCTGAAGATACATCAGCATCCTCTTCTATGGCTTCTGATCCAAGGTATGCTATATGCATCTTGTTGTTGTTGTGAGACAGAGTCTCTCTCTGTCACCCAGGCTGGAGTGCAGTGGCACAATCTCAGCCACTTTGGCCTCCCAGAGTGCTGGGATTACAGGTGTGAGCCACTGTGCCCAGCCTACATGAGGTTTTTAAAACTCAAAAGAGTGTAATAGGGTCTTTCCTTTTTTGTTGGATGGTAGGATTAGATACACTGAACAGCCTTCTCGATTAACACAATAAAGTGTTCCCTATAGGCCAGGCACAGTGGCTCACGCCTATAATCACAGCACTTTGGGAGGCTGAGGCGAGCAAACTGCCTGAGCTCGGGTGGAAGACCAGCCTGGGCAAGGTGGCGCATGCCTGTATTCCCAGCTGCTTAGGAGGCCGAGGCATGAGAATCTCTTGAACCTGGGAGGTGTAGGTTGCAGTGAGCCAGTATCACTCCACTGATCTGCCTGGGCAACAGAGCGACAGAGACTGTCTCCAAAAAAATAAATAATAACATAAAATGCTAACTATAATGTAATGCGTCCTGAGCTGGCATGAAAACGAGAAATCTGTAGATCTTAAGAACTAAATGAACAAAATATTTCTGAAAAGTAAGCCAGTGCCAAAGCTGGCTGGTGCTTGCCCTGATGATTTTTGTCAAACTGTGGAAACTTTGGGCTTATGCTTTCAAAGCTGCTTGGAATGTAGCAAACAGGCCTAAAAGTGTGGGGTGCACCTTAGGTGAGGAGTCATACCGGGGGCCCTCCCTAAAGCTGAGATTTCAAAAGAGCTCCTGTGTAAGGGCCAATGAGAAGAAAACCTCACTGTGAGCATTTTATGACCATGAGTTAACCCTCACCTGAGTTTTTAGTTGGAATTCACACTACCTATGTACTCTGGAAAACCGTGAGCAGCAGATGGTTTAATTTAAAGTGATCTCCATCTGATAGTGTCCCAGGGTGACTGGCAGAAGCAAAGACAAATCCTCTCTGGAAAAGAGCAGCTTTAACTCAGGCCGCAAAGAATTCCCATGCAAACAGTTTCATGGAAATCAGCCCACAGCCTTTAATATACTTAAAGTAAATAATTGTCATTCCCAAAAGCTATCTTATAAAGGATAAACAAAGGTGACCAGGCATGGTGGCTCATGCCTGTAAGCCCACCACTTAGGGAGGCCAAGGCAGGAGGATCACTTGAGCTCTGGAGTTCAAGACCTGCCTGGGAAATATGGTAAGACCCCATCTCTACAAAAAGATTTAAAAATTAGCCAGGCATGGTGGCATGCACTTGTAGTCCCAGGTAGTTGGGAGGCTAAGGCGGGTAGATGCCATAAATCCAGGTGTTTGAGGCTTCAGTCAGCCATGACCCAGCCACTGCAGTCCAGCCAAACTGATCACATTGTGCCCTTTAGGTATGTGCAGTTTTAATACACTTTGGTTATACCCTAATGACATTGTGAAGAAAAAAACCTAAAAGAATATTTTTAACCCCTTTAGCTTTAAAAGACATAATTTATTATTTACTAACTATAAGAGTGAAGACATTTTAATACCGTTTTAAAATGTTAATTTATTGAGATAAAATTCACATTCCATAAAGTTCAGCCTTTTAAAGTACACAATTCTGTTGTTTAATTATATTCATAGAGCAATATAACAATCACCACTAATTTCAGAACATTTTTATCACCTCAAAAAGAAACCGTATACCTATCGTGTCATCTCCATTCTCCCCCCTTCCTAACCCCTGTCAACCACTAGTCTACTTTCAGTCTCTCTAGATTTGCCTGTTCTGGTCGTTTCATACTAATGGAATAATATAATTACGTGGCCTTTTGTATCGGCTTCTTCTGGTTTGCTTAATGTTTTAAGGTTCATCCATGTCACAGCTCATATCAGTACTTCATTCCTTTTTATGCCTGAATAATATTCTGTTATATGAATATTCCACATTTTGTTTATTCATTTATCAGTTTTATAAACATTTAGGTTGTTTGCATTTTTTGGCTATTATTAGTAATGTTGATATGAACATTTGTGTATGAGTTTTCATGTGGACATATGCTTTTATTTCTCTTAGATATATATACCTAGAAATAGTGTCATTTGGTCATATGGTAAACTGTGTTTAACTGTTGGAGGAACTTCCAGACTAAACGGTTTTCCAAAGAACCTGCAACATTTTTCATTCTCACTAGCAGCAAATGTATAAGGGTTCGATTTCTCCACATCTTCACCAAGACTTCTTACTATTGTCTTTTTTATTATAGCCATCCTAGTGTATGTGAAGTGGTATCTCAGTTGTGATTTTCACCTGCATTTCTCAATAACTAATGGTGTAGGACAGCTTTTCATGTGTTCACTGGCTATTTGTATTTCTTTGGAATATTAACTATTCAAATATTTGCCCACTTATAAAATTGGGTTGTCTTTTGTTGAATTGTAGGAGTGGATAGAGAGAGAGACAGACAGACAGACAGACAGACAGACAGACAGACAGACAGACAGACAGTCAGTGTGTTGCCCAGGCTGGTTTTGAACCCTGGGCTCAGGCAATCCTCCTGTGTTGGCCTCCCACAGTGCTGGGATTACAGGCGTGAGCCACCACACCCAGCCTTGAGTTGTAGGAGTTCTTTATAGATTCTGGATACAGTCCTTTATCAGATACATGATTTGCAAATATTTTCTCCCTTCTTTGAGTTGGTTGTCCTTGCACTTTCTTGAACATTTTAATTTTTATGAAGTCCAATTAATCTGTGTGTGTGTGTGTGTGTGTGGTTTTTTTTTTTTTTTGGGGGGGGGGTTACTTGTGCTTTAGTCTGATAAAGACATTTTTAAACAATAAGAACCGGGAGAAGCTGGTGTGCACCTGTATGCCCAAGGCTTAGGAGGCTGAGGCAGGAGGATCACTGGAGCCCAGGCATTGGAGTCCAGCCTAGAAAACATAGTGAGACCCTTTCTCCCCCCGCCCCCCCCCAAAAAAAAAACGGAGAGAGTTTAACACCAAATATCCTTACTAGAGGAAGTTTCTACCTGAAGTACATATGTTAAAAAACTATCCTAGATTCCAAAGGAATGGTGAACAATGATTGTGACTATGAAATTGGATCAGATCGATTACAAAAGAACCATAGAGTTAAAAGGTTCCTTAGAAGACATCAGGGTTAGTCTCTTATCTAATGAAAAAAAACTTCCTCCAGTGTCCTCAATGGCCTCTGCTTCAGATACTTCCCCAGAATTTACTCTATCATGAGATAGTCACTATAACAAGTTTTTCCTCAGGCTGGGTGAAGTGGCTTGTGCCTGTCATCTCAGCACCTTGAGAGAGTAAGGTAGGAGGATCACTTGAGCCCCGGAGTTCAAGACCACCCATGCAACATAGCAAGATCCTGCCTCTACAAAAAATTCTTTTAAAAAATTAGCGGGTATGGTGTGCACACATGGTCCTAGCCATTCAAGTGGCTGAGGCAGAAGGATCACATCAGCCCAGGATTTCAAGGTTACAGTGAGCTGTAATTGTGCCACTGCACTCCAGCCTGGGCGATAGAGCAAGACTGTATCTCCAAAAGAAAACAAAAAGTTTTCTCCTCAAAACACAGTCTGCCTTCCTATAATTCCCACTTAATGATTTTTAAAAGGTTTTCTTAAAATCACAAAGTCTGGGGCCAGGCGCAGTGGCTCACACCTGTAATCCCAGCACTTTGGGAGGCCGAGGTGGGTGGATCACCTGAGGTCGGGAGTTTGAGACCAGCCTGACCAACATGGAGAAACCCCATCTGTACTAAAAAAAAGAAAAATTAGCCAGGCATAGTGGTGCGCATCTGTAATCCCAGCTACTCAGGAGGCTGAGGCAGGAGAATCGCTTGAACCTGGGAGGCAGAGGTTGCGGTGAGGTGAGATTACATCATTGCCCTCCAGCCTGGGCAACAAGAAACAAGAGGGAAACTCTGTCTCAATCAGTCAATCAGTCAATAAAATCACAAAGTCTGTGTCTTCTGTACCTGACACACCTTAGTTATTCTTGAAATTCTCTTTTTCTTTTCTCTAAGCTAAACAAACCAGTGCAGTCAAATAGATTCTTGGCTAGTGCCGTGAAATATTAAAGAACTTTCTGTAATGATGCAGTGTTTAATACTGTAATGATGGAAAGTTACTGTTTCTGCACCATCCTATATGGTAACCACTGGCCATATGGGATTGTTGAATACTTGAAATATGGCTAGTGCAACAAATTTTAATGAAATTAGATTGAAATATCCACATGTAGCTAGTGGCTACTGTACTAAACACTGCAATTCTAGATCATTCTGGCCAGATTTCTCTTTGCCAATACCAGCAGTATCAGATTCACCTGGGAAGTTGTAATGTTTTAGGCCCTCCCTCAGCCTTATAACTCTTAAACAGTTGAGGGTGGAGCCCAGCAATCTCATTTAACAAGCTCTCCAGGTGATTCCAATGCACTCAATACTTGAAAGCCAATTCCAGTTTGTCAAGACTTCTGTTAAAAGCAGTGCTCAGACAAGGTCTGACATGCATGGATTTCACCTAAAGACAGCTTCAGTGGCTTTTTTAAAAAAAATTGAATACTGTTCTCTAAGTAGTGCATTGACTGCATGTTATAAGGATATGAAGAATTTTTAAAAATAAAGTGCCAGGCCAGGTGTAATGGCTCACCCCTGTAATTCCAGCACTTTGGGAGTCTGAGGTAGGCAGATCATTTGAGGTCAGGATACCAGCTTAGGCAACATGGCGAAACCTCATCTCTATTAAAAATACAAAAAATAGCTGGGCATGGTGGCCTGTAGTCCCAACTACTTGGGAGGCTGAGGTGGGAGGATCACTGGAACCTAAGAAGTGGAGGTTGCAGTGAGCCGAGGTCTCACTCCCGCACTCCAGCATGGGTGACAGAGTGAGACCCTGTCTCAAAAATTAAGTGCCCATTACAGTTTAATAATAATAATTAGTTAACCAGCTCTTTCCCAGCTGGGCACGGTGGCTCATGCCTGTAATCCCAGTACCTTGGGAGGCTGAGGTGGGTGGATCACTTGAGCTCAGGAGTTCAACACCAGCCTGGTCAACATGGTCATACCCTATCTCTACTTAAAATACAAAAATTAGCCAGGTGTGGTGGTATGTGCCTGTAATCCCAACTACTTGGGAGGCTGAGGCAGGAGAATCACTTGAACCTTGGAGGTAGAGGTTACAGTGAGCCAATGTTGCACCACTGCACTCCAGCCTGGGTGACATAGTGAGACTCTGTCTCGTCGTCTTCTAAACGCAAGAACGGAAGACGAACTCCTTTTTTAAAAAAGGCCTGGAACGGTGGCTCACACCTGTAATCCCAGCACTTGGGGAGCCAAGGCAGGGATCACTTGCGGTCAGGAGTTCAAGACCACCCTGGCCAACTTGGAGAAACCCTATCTCTACTAAAAATACAAAATTGCCAGGCATGGTGGCACAACCTGTAATCCCAGCTTCTTGGGAAGCTGAGGCAGGAGAATTGCTTGATCCCGGGAAGCTGAGGTTGCAGTGAGCCGAGATTGTGCCACTGCACTCCAGCGTGGGTGACAGAGTGAGACTTCATCTCAAAAAATTAAAAAAAAAAAAAAAAAAAAAAAAAAAAAAAAAACCCAGGCACTTTTCCATAAGTCTCACATGGTCTTACAGCACTAGATCCCTGAGCTCTTGATTTTCAGTCTGGCATGCTTTCCATCAATTAGGCTGTTTGATTAAAAAGTCCTCACTGTTTGGTTTGGTGTCTCCCAGAAGAGAAGAATCTGGTTCCTTGGCAAGTATTTTGCCTACCCCATTCGGGGGCTGTTTTGGCCTTTTTTGCACAACTTTCCCATTGTTAGCTGCCTCTGTCGTCACTCCCAGTGCCCTGGAAACATCTCCCTTTTTTAGGGTTTAACAGACTTCACCTATATAGTTACCTTCTTTTAATACGACTTTTGTCCTCTTATGCTTGAAACTTTGAAGAGGAGCTGGCTTGTTCTGCTGGCCTTGAGCCAGATCTCATAACTTCAGGCAATGCCACGCTACATATCTCCAGCAGTTTGGAATGGAGAACAGAGCTAGAGATAAGATCAGCAGCTTTAGGTGATGGCATTGTTTCAAATAAACCATGCATGACCCAAGCTTCCACTTCAAATGGGGAATGAAATTGCTTTATCCTTTGACAGCTTGCTCTATGAAATAAATTTATCTTCACTTAATTGCTTTAGATCCCAAGAGGCTACATACAGTCATTTCTAGGAGATAATTGTATCAAATTTTAAAAATCTGTGACTGTGGACATGAATATGTAACTGCAGTGGACAGGGACAGGGAGAGGTGGGAAAATCAGAAGTCCTGCTGAACTTGCTAGTGAGTTTCCGTTCTCATTCTTAGAGTCCCCTTGGGTCATAGACCACTTTCCGAATCTGCTGATTCAGATGCGGGGGTCCTTGGTACCCCTTGCTGCTAGTATGTTAAAGCATCTTGTCTACTACTCATGTAGCTGGATAGTGTTTTGCTCAGACTCCTCCTCAAACTGGGAGGGGTCAGGCCGGTGGCAGACTTCCGGTGATATGTCTTCATTTAGTCCAACTGGGCACAGTTTGTCTACACTGTAGGCCACAGCCACTGGGAGATCTAGTTAGTGGCAGCTGAAAACCAGCAAACTTGTTGATTTTAAAACATGACTATTTAGATGTTAGGGATAAACTTCCTGTAGATGGGGGACAGGCTTCTTTATCTTGGCATGTTTAAGTATCCAGTTCTCATTTCCCTAAACTTTATATTTGAAAAAAAAAATCTGAAGCTTTCACTGTCATTTTCACTAATCTCAGCCCCTGGCTACCTTTACCCTGTGTTTTTTTTTCTTCTTTCTGAAATTGCAGGGTTTTTTTTTTTTTTTTTCCTGCCTTCTACTAAATAACCATATTTCCATGTTGTGATATAACAACCCCGTAAAAGACCAAAGGCATTTTCCAGGTGTGGACACAGTTCTGGGTCATCTCTCAGCTCTTTTTGTCTGCATCTACCTTTAAGATGACGCACTGGACAGTTAGATTGTGAGCTTCATGAGACCAGCCCTGAGCAACATCCCCAAGTGTCTACCGTGGTGCTCATGTCTTAGGAGGGCTCTGTGAGTTAGAGCCAGTGAGGCACGGCTGCTGTAAAGACAAGGAGGATCTGACTTGAGATACAGAGCATTTTTGGATTGTGTACTAAGATCAGTGAACATCTCAGCCAACTTGGGGGTGGGGCATGTGCCACAATCGATCAAGGTGGTCTGACTCAAGCGGAGAATCTGTATAGGGCTGTCAAGTGCTTTCCAGGCTGAGTCCCACTCGCTGTCTGCTTGCGGGGGTCACTCTCCAGGTGTCTCTTATCCCTTCTTTCTCTTTCTCACTTCATCAGGGTCGGCCACACTCCTCCATCAGTCAGAGGGAGTGTTGCCTTTTCTTTTAAACCCCTCCCCAGGAAACCTGACAGCCATCTTGAGTAAGCCAATTTGCATTTGAAAAGGTCTTGCTGGCGTGCCTCTAAGGGAAATCTGCAGCAAGCACTGTCACATCACTTCTTGGCGTCACATCAAGGAGTTTTTTTTTTTTTTAAGGAATTATACTTTAGCTCACATCTCAAACATGAGCACCTGAATAGCAGCCTGGAGGGGTCATCAGGGTCAGAGTGTTTGTTCTAGTCTGTTTCTTTTGAGCTGGAAAAACATTTCTCCGTATACCACCACCTTTGGTACTCCCTTCTGGAGAGTTGCTTTTCTCCTGCCTGCCTGTTAGTCTGGTAGTAGTAAACTGTACCAAGAAGCTTTCCATGGTTAATAACCTTGATTCAACCCGTTTCTTTTAGTTGGATCATTTTTGACACAAGGTCTCACTGTCACCCAGGCTGGAGTGCAGTGGCAAGATCTCTGCTCCCTGCAGTCTCCACTTCCTGGGTTCAAGTAGCAGTCCTCCCACCTCAGCCTCCCAAGTAGCTGGGACTGCAGGCGTGTGCCACCATGCCCAGCTAATGTTTGATTTTTTTTTTTTTTTTAAGAGAAGCCTGGTCTTGAACTCGGCTCAAGCAATCCTCCTGCCGTGGCCTCCCAAAGTGCTGAAATTACAGGTGTCAGCTGCCATACCTGACCTTAATTGGATCTTCTAGGAGCAGAACATGCCTGTTTTTACTTGTGTTTTATTTGATAAAAATAACATACCAAACTTATGTAAGGCCTTACCAAGAAGGATAATTGAACTTCTGGTGTCTTTACACAAAAAAGCTTAAAAAAAAGGTGAGGGCTTTTCAGGGATTGAATCATTTTTGGTGCCTTTTTTGGTAGATTCCATGAATCCAATTTTGGTGTGTTCAGTAAAGTTTGCCCTGAGTTTGAATTAGGAGTGAGAGAGAGAGAAAGAGAGAGAGAGAGAGAGAGAGAGAGAGAGAGTGAGTGTGTGTGTGTGTGTGTGTGTGTGTGTATTGAACATATGATCTCTTCCTCTGGAAAGATCATTAAATCCAAATAGGGAAATGGAGACTTTCCAAGGAATGTCAAGAGCAGGTGAAAAGAAAACATTTTGCCATAGATATTTAGAATAAGTGAGATAGATCCGATAGGAATGAAGAAGTGCCATGATTTACTTCTATTTCTTCACTGTGTGGCTGACTGAAAACAGTCACTAGCCACATCTGTCTACTTCAGATTAAATTAATTGGCCAGGTGCTGACTCATCCCTGTACTCCCAGCACTTTGGGAGGCCGAGGTGGGTAGATTGCTTGAGACCAGGAGTTCAAGAACAGCCTGGCCAACATGGTAAAACCCTGTCTCTGCTAAAAATACAAAAATTAGCCAGGCATGGTATGCATGCCTGTAATTCCAGCTACTCAGGAAACAGACATGATAATTGCCTGAACTCCAGGACAGAGGTTGCAGTGAACCAAGTTCATGCCACTGCACTCCAGCCTGTGCAACAGGGCGAAACTGTATGTATGTATATAGGTATGTATGTACATACGTGTGTGTGTGTGTATGCCAGGTGTGTTATCTCATGCCTGTAATCCCAGGACTTTCCAGGACTTTGAGAGGCCAGTGCGGGAGGATTGAGCCCAAGAATTCAAGGCCAGCATGGGCTAACATAGTGAGGTCCCATCTCTACAAAAAAAAATTTTTTTTTTTTTTTTTTGAGACGGAGTTTCGCTCTTGCTACCCAGGCTGGACTAGAGTGCAATGGCATGATCTCGGCTCACCGCAACCTCCGCCTCCTGGGTTCAGGCAATTCCCCTGTCTCAGCCTCCTGAGTAGCTGGGATTACAGGCACGCGCCACCACGCCCAGCTGATTTTTTGTATTTTTAGTAGAGACGGGGTTTCACCATGTTGACCAGGATGGTCTCGATCTCTTGACCTCGTGATCCACCCGCCTCGGCCTCCCAAAGTGCTGGGATTACAGGTGTGAGCCACTGCGCCCGGCCTCTACAAAAAATTTAAGTTAGCTGGGCATGGTGATACGGGCCGATAGTCCCAGCTATTCAAGGGGCTGAGGTAGGAAGATTGCTTGAGCCTGAGAGGTTAAGGCAACAGTGAGCAGTGATTGCACCGCTGCACTCCAGCCTTGGTGTCACAGCAAGAACTCTGTCTCAATCAAGCAATCAAAAGTTAGTTAATGAAAATTAAATAAAATTGAAAATTCAGTTCTTCAGTCATAGTAGTCACATTTCCAAGTGGTCAACCGCGTGAGACTGATGGCTGTTGTACTGTCAAGCATAATATAGACTCTTTCCATTATTGCCATAAAGTTCTCTTAGACAGCTTTGCTTTGTGATAAAGTCACTAAGCATAACTCAGTTATAAGGTTGGGGTTGGTGGGGATGGAAGGGGAAAGAGGAGATGTTGGGCAGAGGATACAGAGTTTTCATTAGACAAGAGAAGTAGGTTCTTGTGATCTGTCATACAGCATGGTGACTGGAGTGAATAATATATTTTATATTTAAAAATAGCTTAAGGAATAGATTTTAGGCCAGGCGCGGTGGTTCACGCCTGTAATCTCAGCACTTTGGGAGGCCAAGTTGGGAGGATCACGAGGTCAAGAGATCAAGACCATCCTTGCCAACATGTTGAAACCCCGTCTCTACTAAAAATACAAAAAATTAGCTGGGTGTGGTGGTGCGTGCCTGTAATCCCAGCTACTCAGGAGGCTGAGGCAGGAGAATTG